AAATCAAATTGCACCTCTCGGGTCTCTCAAAATCAATTATTCCCGAAATAAAGGAAGTAACGTTCCGGTAAATGATCTATCAGTTTCCCCGGCGTGTCGAGATTTGAATGGTACCCAAGAGGATGAAGGGTATCGCTGTATCGTTCCATCTCGAAACAGGAGGAGGACTCGCTCAAAGGATTAACTCGAATATGGAACACTCGAAATCAAGAGGCTTCGTGTCGGGAAATCCAGTCACGAAAGGGCAAACACAAGACACATTGTGCCCGACGATGCTCGGATCAGTTTACCGTGACGGAAGCTGAGTCGGAAGGTCATCTTTACTCAGTGGGAAGTCGAGTATACCGCAATGCAGTTCGGGATGCCATGTATCCCGTGTACCTTGTCCCATATCCTTCCCTCTGAAGCCGCTTCTATGCACATAATGGCACTGCTGCGTACCGTCGTTTCTGTTCGAGAACTCGTTTCGAGAGTGGTCTTGGACTTTCAAACGCGGCCAACGCGATGATCAGCATCTTCAGAGAACCTATCGCTCTCGTGGGATGAACTTATCTGCCATTGGATGTCATACTTTTTTAAATAGCGAATTTTAATATCGTGAAATAGCTCATGATACTCTTAATTCAATTTCTATTTTAGTGCTTGGCTTTTCAGGTTTAGTAGGAACGCTTCACAAGATATTTAGATTAAGATTACGCTTCATGAAATAGCTCATGATACTCTTAATTCAATCTCAATTTTAATTCTTGGCTTTTGAGGTTTATTAGGAACACTTCAGAAGATATTTAGATTAAGATTACGCTTCATGAAATAGCTCATGATACTCTTAATTCAATTTCAATTTTGATGCTTGGCTTTTGAGATTTATTAGGAACACTTCAGAAGATATTTAGATTAAGATTACGCTTCATGAAATAGCTCATGATACTCTTAATTCAATCCCAATTTTAATTCTTGGCTTTTGAGGTTTATTAGGAACACTTCAGAAGATATTTAGATTAAGATTATGCTTCATGAAATAGCTCATGATACTCTTAATTCAATCTCAATTTTAATTCTTGGCTTTTGAGGTTTATTAGGAACACTTCAGAAGACATTTAGATTACTGTTCTCCTTCTGACATTTCAGTCTGAATAACATAATGTATTAGGTCTGTTGACATAGGATAATAGACTACAGCGAGAGTCTCGCTATATGGCCGTAGCACATGTGTGACACACATGTCTCATACGCATGTACTTCTGTACTCACAATGTATTAGTGAATCACCTAAAATTTAAGAATCTATAAATTTAACCTATCTAAAACTGAAAATTAACAAATCTGAATTACCTAAATCTGAAAATTTACGAATTTGAAATATCTCAATCTGAACATTTCTAACTTTGAAATGTCTAAATGTAAAAATTTGTAAACTTGAAGTATCTGAATCTAAAAGTTTCTAGCTCTCAAATAATTATAAAAATTTCTAAATCTAATAATTTCTAAATTTGAAACATTTGAATCTGAAAATCTTTCCCTTTCCAAATTCGAATAATTTGCAAACTAAGAACCCCAATTTGTCCTCCTAACACAGAAAAGCGAAAGAAATCACACGGTGTCTCATCGTTAACAATAAAGTGTCTTCCCGTTCCTCACCGAGTGAGCTCGAATCATAATCACAAGGAATTATCCTAGTTAAGTGTACTCGTAACGGCATAACGCGTTTAATTAAGTCCCGTATTGTGCTCGCGATGCAAAAATGATGAGCTGTACGTACGGTGCGTTTCTGTGCCACGAATATTTCCCTTTCAATGAAAAGCAATGTGAAGCACTCGCGTGTAGGGTGTTAATAATCCAGAGTAAGGCTCTTTTAAAACAAATCCGGCGACGCTCTATTGTTGCACCAACGTACCTAGTATGTGATGAAAACGGGGAATGTTTTGCATTGCTCTTTACGTTAGCTAGAAGGTAACTAGAAGAGAAACAATGCCACTTTGCGCTCGTTATATTTATATTTTCTAGTTGTCCCGCTCCCTTTCTTTCTCCTTCTCTTGCTCTTCGTTAACAAAAATAATTATACTCCTCAAAATTTCTCGCGACATAGTTGGTCAGAAAACCTGAATGAAACGCACGCAATACCGAGCTTATTACTAGCTTAATTCATAGAACTCGTTATTTCAAGGAAAAATAATTAGCGGGGAAATATTTAATCTCGGTTTGTTAAAAATATATACTCCAAAATTTCACATAGTATTGTACTAATAATTGACCAACAATTACACTAACAATTTTTGATAACAATAATAAGATATTAAAATTTAATAGTAACACATAAGACGTATAATACATGTAACATATAAGAGTCACTACCGGTATATTATTCAAGAAATGATGAACGTATGTAATATGTGTCAAGTAGAAAATAAGTTATTTAATAATAAATGGTGTACTAACGAAATCGGTATACAAGTATATGGTTATTACAGTGTTGTCTCATAAAACTTTAGGATGTCCCGTGTACTCATAAAATTCGTCCCCAACGTACCATCAATTATACGACACCCTGTATAATTTCTGGAAGCCCTCGAACATTCCACGTACGCCGCAGACTGGCGCCTACAATTAGGTGGGATCATACGGTGGCAGGATTAACACTCATGAAGGAACGGTGTGAATATTTAATAGCGGGTTATGTCGGCCGCGTTGTGTGCGTCTCCGTTGCTGCGGCAGACAATAGAGGTGCCAAGTAAGCCGCTTGTAGGCGCGACGATACACGGGGCCATCCTCCTCGAAGATGGCTGAGATGCTTGCCATGGAACGGCCAGGCATTATATCGGTGATTATATCGGTGGATGCTGATAGCAGGGAAAATGGAAGCCCCGCGTCAGCATTCGAGGGTGGCTCTTCAGGCGTCGAGCTCGACCTCTTCAGCGTCGTCGCCGGCCGAACAATACCCGGCAGAACTCGCTGTTCTCGCACCGAGTATCGTCGATCAACTTCCACGGGGACGAAAAACAAGGGACGATGAAGAAATGCGATAACGCGCAAAGATGGACTAAAGATTCTTTATTTTCAAACTTGGGAATTTAGAAATTTACGTATTTTGGAATTTGAAGGTTTGAGGATTTAGGGATTTGGAGATATGGATATGTGAGCATGTGGGCATGTGGGTACGTGGAGATTTGGAATTTGGAAATTCCGGGACTAGGGGAACATTAGATTTGAAAACTTGATGACATATGGAATTCGAGACTTAGGGAATTTGGAACTAGGGAAAATTGGAACTAAGAGAATTTGGAACTAGGGAAATTTGGAACTAGGAAAAATTGGAACTAGAGGAATTTGGAACTAGGGAAAATTGAAACTAAGGGAATTTGGAACTAGGGAAATTTGGAACTAGGGAAAATTGGAACTAATGGAATTAACTAGGAAAAATTGGAACTAGAGGAATTTGGAACTAGGGAAAATTGGAACTAATGGAATTTGGAACTAGGGAAATTTGGAACTAGGGAAAATTGGAACTAGAGGAATTTGGAGCTAGGGAAAATTGGAACTAGAGGAATTTGGAACTAGGGGAATTTGGTACTAGGGAAATTTGGAACTAGGGGAATTTGGAATTAGGGCGATTTGGTACTAGGGAAATTTGGAACTAAGGGAATTTGGAATTAGGGGGATTTGGAACTAGGGAAATTTGGAACTAGGGAAAATTGGAACTAGAGAAATTTGAAACTTGGGAAAATTGGAATTAGGGAAAATTGGAACTAGGGAAAATTGGAACTAAGGGAATTTGGAACTAGGGAAAATTGGAACTAAGGGAATTTGGAACTAGGGAAATTTGAAACTAGGGAAAATTGGAACTAGAGGAATTTGGAACTAAGGAAAATTGAAACTAGGGAAAATTGGAACTAAGGGAATTTGGAACTAGGGAAATTTGGGATGGAAAGAAGTTAAAACTATAGGATCTGAATTATGGAATCGAAACCTGGAAATTTTAATGCTTCATGATTATCGAATCTGCACATTTGAAAATTGTAATATCCAAAATTTGACATATAATTTGCGAAATACAGTTTGTAAATATTTCCATGAATGTATTTAACGAACCACGGATATGTTCATTGCGGTGACAAGTACAGCTACCTTCAATTTTCCGTGATTTACACGGTTCACAATTTGGCGCGAGGAGTTTGATCGAATAAAGCATGCATTATTTTCGAAGTCACATTGGTCCAAAAAACACAACGTAAAATTTGTTATTTAACAAGCATTGACGGATCTGGATTTGACACGTTCGACCGAGCACTTCTGTGACACGTGATTGACGCTTTTGGATGGTAATAAGCCGTACGTGCCAGGAGCATGGCATCGACAAGCACCCTGGCGAAATGCGATTATTTTGCAAAAATTGTGCTGTGCCACTTTTTTTTTTATACCTCGTGTTTGATAAAGTCGTTGTACTGTATATTTCTGCTGCAATGTAATATTTATAAAACCGATCGTGACGTTATCTGAAATTACTCAGTGCTTTTAGACACTTCTAGCAAATTTTTAATTATAATAAAGTTCTGACATTGTCAAATATCCATTTCAGGCTTTAAATTAGTCAGCGTTTCAACTTGTCACGTCTTTAAGTTTTTAAATATCTCAATTTTCAAATTCATAAATTTCGTAGTTTCACATTTGCTGAATTTATCTTTAAATTCTTAAATTAAAAATTAATCATTTTTAAGTTTTCAACTTTGAGTTTAAAAATAGTGCTGGTTTGCAGTATGACCGATGGTGGAGACTATTTATTACGATATCGACTGCATCAGTCAGAGCCAACTCCTCAGCCTCTGACAGTTATCTATAATTAGACTATCGATCATACATAAATCAAAATATATATATATCACAATAATACACACACCTCAGCGCTAAAAGCCTAATAATTAATTCAGAATAATGAACCACTCCAAATGTTTCACCTGAAATATCACACGAACCATCGTTAAAAATCGATAATTTTGTTGTTTCAGATTATTGACGTTCTGCTATCTGGCAGCTCTGAATTGCTGGTTGCTGCTTTGTCCAGCGACATTGTCACACGATTGGCAAATGGGATCCGTTCCTCTGGTCGCCTCGTTAGCCGATACAAGAAATTTAGCGACGTGTCTATTCTTCGGCGGCTGTCTAATCCTCACTTACAAGGCCTTCACGGATTTCGAGGTGAGATTTCAAACAAATGACAAACGGAATTTCCCGTTCGCTGAAGGTTTATGCAAATAGCACAACCGGCCATTATCGCGTGGTTCGCAAAAACGGATGCCTTCCTGCAAAAAGTTGGATACGTGTGTCGTGGATGTGAACCCATAAATTACCGGTTTTATTCAAAGAGAACGTATACACAGATATTAAACGTTAACTTTTAATTGCTGCAGGAAATTGTAAAATGAACGAGGTCGGTGTACGTTACATATGAAAACTTCGTGTACTGATATACATTTCTTATTATATTCGGTTGTAGAAATATAATTATGGGAGTCTGTACGTGGTTTATTTGAGGTAATTAAGATAATTAGGTTACAGTTTTTGTTGTATTCTTTCTGAGGTCTTCTAGATTTTCTAGTTCGTTTTCTAGATTGAATGACAAATTTCTGCGAACTCAAATTTACACATTTATAAATTTCTACACATTCCTACATTTCTAAATTTTCACTCTGGCAACTTTCCAAATTTTCAAATTCTCATATTCCCAAATTTCTACATTAGAAAATTCTCAAATTTTTATTGTCCCAAAGTTCCATATTCTCAATTTTTCACACGCTTGAATTTCCACACTTTCAAATTTTTCAAATCCAAATTTTTCTACTCCAACCTCCTACATTGTCAAATTTCCAGCTTCCCGAATTTCAGCATTTTCAAATATTTTTATACCTGACTTCTCGCACCCCAAAATTATCACATTTGCAAGTTTCCGCTTCTCCAAATACCAACCCTAAAAAATTCCCACATTTCCATCCTCCAAAAATCGAAGTTTCCACCTCGCGAAATAGTGAAATTAGGGGTCAGCCTGTATCGAAGCAAAGTTAAATGACCGGGCAGTTATCATGAACGAGAAGTCATTCCGTGGCTAAACGTTTCGGGCCACGAACGCGGCCGGTAACGAACCGCAAAGTTCCGTGTTGCAGGTCCCCGCAGGCGAAGCGAACCGCTTCTGATGAAGTTGTACCAACCTCGAAAGCCATAAAGAAAGTTTCGCGACGGTACAACTGGCGAGTCAACCGACGGCCAGAGGGATGCCAACCCCTCGGACCTTTTCGTTTTTCGGGTCATCCGTCAGCGACGCGGCTGAGCGTTTACCGTAATGTCCTCTTTAAGCTTAAACGTGTGCGAACTCGCCGGCCACTTTTCCAGAAGGAGGCCATATCTGTGGTTTTAACGTTCTCTCAGCCTCCCTCACCCCTTCGTTCAACCCTTCTTCGCAGACAGGGAGAAAGAGAAAGAGTCGGTGAACGTTGATGGAACCGCCACCGAGCGGATGTCTTCTTTGAGAACGAGGCCGTTTCTAGTCCGCTTTCCGTCGTAATCTTTGCGCCTAACATCCGATTTAAGGGACGTTTCAGTAATAACGCCCCTCGGCATTGTTCTCGATGCTGTATTGTCCGTATTCAGCGCATATCTTTGACATACTTTCGGGCGAAAAGAAAGAACGCTGTGAAATGCTGATGGCCGAGACACCTGGCCAACCATGCGCTACCAGACGCCACTGATGGATTAGCAGTTTTTTAATCGCACCGTTACTGTACTGCTTAATATCTACTATTTTATTCTACTTTTTAATATTTTTAAGTTATTAGCAGATTTTTCTGTTGTAATTTTATCAAGTTTTTATTGTGTTAAATATAAAATATCAAACTTCTAAAAATATTCAAAGATATCAAACTTCTAAAAATATTAAAAAATATTAAAAAATATCAAACTTCTAAAATAAACTTACATACATATTTGCTGTCTAATATTCAAACTCATAACCTGTCAATTTTCTACAGGGTTAAATTTTGAAGTTATTAGATTTCCATGTTTTTGAATTTGAAAATCATGCAGTTTCTAAATAAGCAAATTTCAAAGAGTCTAAACGTGCAAATTTTATGACATGCAATTTTAGAATTTGCAAATTACAAGGCATGAAATCTGTAACTCAAAGTCAAAAATATCAGAAGTCAGTTTATCATGAATATTGGTCGTTATGTGATTTCAAAGTACATCCCCTTTTAGAGAGGCGTGTAACGTGACTTTTAAACAGCATCATTCCGCAACTTTTAATGGTCATGAGAAATGGCGCGAGCACGTGTTATTTCGTGTGGATATCCGTATAATCTCGCCATAATAAACCGAAACGAAACGTGAATACGTACGAGCAATAATTTTATAAACGATCGTTAAACGTGTCCTGTTTCATTGTTGATTTTCGCCCGGTTTTTGTTTGCCGAACGCTTCGAAAATCGTCAATGAAATTTAATTCTCGTTCTCGTCCAAAAAAACATTACGCGAAAAATAATGAGTTTGGAGTAGACGTTTCCTGAAAAGTTTATTTTAGTCTTGTTCCGTAAATTTTCGATGGAACGACAAACACGTTGGTGACGATCGATCATTGTCAGAAGAAAGATATTCGTTTATGTTCCCCGGTAAACCAATACGGTTATCAGTTTATGCCGATTCCATACGGAGATATGCAAATATGTCAGACAGTAATTTTCCCGCTGGTCCCATGGAACCCATTTAAACAGCCAATGCATACAGTCACCGATCACAAAACTATTGACCCGAAATTGATTCGCGCCAAACGCGTCTTTGAACGATAATTGGCCATCGTTGTTCCCTCGCGTTTGCTCATTTCCTGTTCCGTAATCGTTTCATCGTCTCTTCTTTCCTCTTTGCGTTTATTTGTTCGCGCTGATCTTCCAGCGTTATTTGAATACGAAAATATCGAAGAACCACGAATAAACCGAGGTTATTCGCGAATTATTAATAAGGTATATTAATAACGAACGGTTGTATTCGCTGCAGTGATACGCTTCATAAAATTGAGAATAATTTTTATTAACGAGATGCATACGTGTATTTACAGTAAAATATTTATATCGTGGGATGGAACTAACTTCACTGGCGCGGCTGTAAATGCGGAACCTTATAAATATATTAATTATCAAATGAAAAATGTATGATTTCCGGAGAACTTATTCGTTGTGTACACGTCAATAGAAATAACAGGATAGTGGTAAGATTAAATAAACCCGATGTCTATCTTCATTGTGACGGATTTTTAACATTTAACTTTCTTCGCCGTAAGGTGTGTCACTTAAATTACTTACAAAACTAACAGATTAAGTATAATAGCTATTTGGTTAACAATTAAATTTCCATTATTTCTTAAAATTTAGCTATTGTGATTAATTGTCAACTTTATGCTATGCCATCTTTGATTATATACTTCCTATATGCCCGAATCGTTTCTTTGTAAGTTTTCTTCGGGACTAATAGTTTCGTTATGGAAGAAGGCTTTCTGTCGGACACAGCTGCAACTCTCACGGGTCCGTTTCCGGCTTGTTTCACCACAAAAATATCCAGTTTTTGCGATTTCTGCAAAAGAAGAAAATACATTATATGTAACATACATGTGATGAACCACGAAATGCACCAACATGAAAATTTAAAAATCTCTTCTTTATGCTTGAACGAAATAAAAGTATATATTTTGTTTAGGCTTACCTTGCTCAGATCCGTCGCAGTCTTCGTTTTCATTTTGGAATCCCATGCTTTCGATTTATCTTCAATCACATTTGCCTCGTGTTCCCAAGGTCGTGCAATCGATAGAACAGATTCGAGCATTCGGTACAGCACGGTGTTCCAATTTTTATTTTCTGCGGCATTGTCCGATTTTGTATGACCTAAGGATTCGCTAGATTCTGAGGTTTCTTTTTCATCGGATTGTGACTCAGCTGACTCCCAAGATCCAGATGGTCCACCTTTATTCTCGATCTTTGTTGACGGCTTCCTAAACTTATTGGAAATCGGTCGCCACTTTTCCGTGTCTTCGTTATTTGAAATCTTTATTTCTTCGCTCTTTGAAGATTCTTTCCTTTCTTCCTTTTCGATTTTTATACTTTTTTCATTGTTCGCTCTTATAACTTCTTTGGAATTACTAGAAGTTGCAACTTTGCTTTTTTTGCCAAGGGCAGTAGCCTCTTTGGTTGCATCTAATGATGACCAATTTTCATTGGACCATTCGTTGCTTTCTTCTTTCCATGACCCTTTGTCGGAGTCTAAGTGTCCGTCAATTAATCCTGTGTGCAGAGTAGTTGGCGGATGAGTTTTTATCAAAGGATTAGGTACCTGTGTTTCTACTTTGTCTACGAGACCTATATGAGACTTCAAATTGTCTTTTTTATCAGACCATTCGTTTTCCGATACATGTGTACCTTTTTTGAGTAATGGGCTCTTAATTTTATCAGGCCCTGAACTCCAAGGCTTAGGTGACATCACATCAGATTTGTGAGCTCCATGAACAGTATCTGACTCCACCGGTATCCCCTTAGACCATGCATTATTAAGTCCAGTAGCATGAAGCAATGCAGGTCTTTCGTTTAGATAGCGAACAATGGAATCTTCAGCAATTGGTTTGCCTATACTGGAACCATGTTTTTTCAACAATACATCCTTTGCTGTCAACTCAACATCTTCTGATTTTTTAATGTTCGTATGCTCTTCTTCTTTCATTCCGATATTCTTCTTCTCAGAGGACCAACTTTTGCCACCAGCATTCCATTCCTTCTCACTAGAGGACCATTCTTTGTCACTTTCTTTCCATTCCTTTTCTTCAGAGGACCACTCTTTGTCTCCTTTCTTCCAATCCGTTTCACCAGAGGACCATTCTTTGTCTCCTTCCTTCCACCCTTTCTCTCCAGAGGACCACCCTTTGTCTCCTTCCTTCCATTCCTCCTCACTAGAGGACCATTCGCGACTTTCTTCTTTCCACGATCCAGAATCCCAGGATGCACCTATCTTCTCCTTCGACTCCTCAATCTTAATTTCCTTCGATTTCATCTTCTCTTCCATTTCCTTCTTAGACTCCTGTTCCTTCAGTTCGATTTTTTTCTTCTCAGCGGGCCATTCTTTTTCTCCTGCTCTCCACTCCTTTTCCCCAGAGGACCATTCGTGGCTTTCTTCTTTCGCTGGACTCTTGCCAGAGTCCCAGGATGCACCTTTCTTCTCCTTTGATTCCTCCATTTTCATTTCCTTTGATTTCTTCTCCACTTTCTGCCCTTCCTTAGACTTTTGTTTCTTCAATTCGATTTTCTTCTTCTGAGACGACCACTTATTATCTGCACCCTTCAATTTCTTGTCTCCCGAGGACCATTCGTGACTTTCTTCTTTCCATGGTCCTTTCCTGGATTCCCAGGATGCACCCTCCTTCTCCTTCGATTCCTCTATCTTAATTTCCTTCGACTTCTTCTTCTCTTTCACTTCCTTCTTCGATAAGTTTTCCTTCAATTCGATTTTCTTCGTTTCAGGAGCCCATTCTTTATTTTCATCCTTCCATTCTTTCTCCCCCGAGGACCACTCTTCGTCACCTTCCTTCCATTCCTTCACCCCGGAGGACCATTCGTGGCTTTCTTCTTTAGACGGCCTCTTACCAGATTCCCAGGATGAACCTGTTTTCCCCTTCGATTCTTCTATTTTAATTTCCTTCGATTTCCTCTCCTCTTTCAGTTCCTTCTTAGACTTTTCTTCCTTCAGTTCGATTTTCGTCTTCTCAGCAGACCATTCTGTATCTCCTCCCTTCCATTCCTTTTCACCGGAGGACCATTCTTTGTCACCTTCTGTCCACTTCTTCCCATCAGAGGACCACTCATAACTTTCTTCTTTCCATGGTCCTTCGTCAGATTCCCAAGATCCACCTTTCTTCTCCTTTGATTCCTCTATCTTAATATCCTTCGATTTCTTTTCTGCTTTCAGTTCCTTCATAGACTCGTTTTCCTTCAGTTCGATTTTCTTCGCATCAGGGGCCCATTCCTTGCTTTCATCTTTCCACTCTTTCTTCCCAGACGACCACACTTTTTCACCTTCCTTCCGCCCCTTCGCTCCGGAGGACCACTCACGGCTTTCTTCTTTCGAAGGCCTCAAGCCAGAGTCCCAGAATGCGCCTATTTTCTCCTTCGACTCGTCTATCTTAAGTTCCTTTGATTTCTTCTCCTCTTTCATTTCATTCTTAGACTCGCTTTCTTTCAATTCGATTTTCTTCTTCTCAGGGGCCCATTCTTTGTTTTGGTCCTTCAATTCTTTCTCTGCAGAGGACCCCTCCTTTTCGCCTTCCTTCCACTCCTTCTGATCAGGCGACCATTCGTGGGTTTCTTCTTTCCACGGCCCTTTGCCGGAGATCAAGGATGCATCTTTCTTCTTCGCTGATTCCTCTATCTTAATTTCCTTCGATTTCTTCTCTTTCTGTTCCTTCTTTGACGCTTCTTTCTTCAGTTCTATCTTCTTCTTCTTAGGCGACCATTCTCTAACTCCTCCCTTCCACTCCTTGGCTCCAGAGGGCAATTCGTGACTTCCTTCTTTCCATGGTCCTTTGCCAGATTCCCACGAGGCTGCGTTTTTCTCCTGCGATTCCTCTATCTTAATTTCTTTCGATTTCTGCACCTCCTTCTGCTCTTTCTTAGAGTCTCCTTCCTTCAGCTCAATTTTCTTTGTCTCAGGAGACCATTCCTTATAACCTTCCTTCGGTTCCTTCGGTGGTGCAGACCATTCCTTATCACCTTCCTTCCATTCCTTCGGTGCAGGAGACCACTCCTTGTCATCTTCCTTCCATTCCTTCGGTGCGGGAGACCATTCCTTATCACCTTCCTTCCATTCTTTTGGTGCAGGTGACCACTCTTTGTCATCTCCCTTCCATTCGTTCGGTGCAGCAGACCACTCCTTGTCACCTTCATCTTCCTTCCATTCCTTCGGTGCGGGAGACCATTCCTTATCACCTTCCTTCCATTCCTTCGGTGCAGGAGACCACTCCTTGTCACCTTCCTTCCATTCCTTTGGAGGAGCAGACCATTCCATATTACCATCCTTCCACTCCTTCTGATCAGGGGACCATTCGTGGGTTTCTTCCTTCCGTGGTTCTTTGCCGGACAGCAAAGGTGCATCTTTCTTCTCCTCTGATTCTTCTATCTTAATTTCCTTTGATTTCTTCTCTTTCTGTTTCTTCTTTGACTCTTCTTTCTTCAGTTCTATCTTCTTCTTCTTAGGCGACCTTTCTCTAACTCCTCCCTTCCACTCCTTGTCAGCAGAGGACCATTCGTGACTTCCTTCTTTCCATGGTCCTTTATCAGATTCCCACGAGGCTGCGTTTTTCTCCTGCGATTCCTCTATCTTAATTTCTTTCGATTTCTGCACCTCCTTCTGCTCTTTCTTAGAGTCTTCTTTCTTCAGTTCAATTTTCTTCGTCTCAGAAGGCCAGTCCTTATCACCTTCCTTCCACTCCTTCTTTTTAGGTGACCATTCCTTATTACCTTCCTTCCATTCCTTCGATGCAGGAGACCACTCTTTGTCACCTTCCTTCCATTCCTTCGGTGCAGGTGACCATTCCTTATCACCTCCCTTCCATTTTTTCGGTGTAGGAGACCACTCCTTGTCACCTTCCTTCCATTCCTTTGGAGGAGCAGACCATTCCATATTACCATCCTTCCACTCCTTCTGATCAGGGGACCATTCGTGGGTTTCTTCCTTCCGTGGTTCTTTGCCGGACAGCAAAGGTGCATCTTTCTTCTCCTCTGATTCTTCTATCTTAATTTCTTTCGATTTCTGCACCTCCTTCTGCTCTTTCTTAGAGTCTCCTTCCTTCAGCTCAATTTTCTTTGTCTCAGGAGACCATTCCTTATAACCTTCCTTCCGTTCCTTCGGTGGTGCAGACCATTCCTTATCACCTTCCTTCCATTCCTTCGGAGCAGGTGACCACTCGTTGTCACCTTCTTTCCATTCCTTCGGTGCGGGAGACCATTCCTTATCACCTCCCTTCCATTCCTTCGGTGCAGGAGACCACTCCTTGTCAACTTCCTTCCATTCCTTTGGAGGAGCAGACCATTCCATATTACCATCCTTCCACTCCTTCTGATCAGGGGACCATTCGTGGGTTTCTTCCTTCCGTGGTTCTTTGCCGGACAGCAAAGGTGCATCTTTCTTCTCCTCTGATTCTTCTATCTTAATTTCCTTTGATTTCTTCTCTTTCTGTTTCTTCTTTGACTCTTCTTTCTTCAGTTCTATCTTCTTCTTCTTAGGCGACCTTTCTCTAACTCCTCCCTTCCACTCCTTGTCACCAGAGGACCATTCGTGACTTCCTTCTTTCCATGGTCCTTTGCCAGATTCCCACGAGGCTGCGTTTTTCTCCTGCGATTCCTCTATCTTAATTTCTTTCGATTTCTGCACCTCCTTCTGCTCTTTCTTAGAGTCTCCTTCCTTCAGCTCAATTTTCTTTGTCTCAGGAGACCATTCCTTATAACCTTCCTTCCGTTCCTTCGGTGGTGCAGACCATTCCTTATCACCTTCCTTCCATTC